TTTTTTTTTTTTTTTTTTTGTGATTGAATGCTTTTGAGCAGAGGAAAGTAAGCAAAGGCACAAGAAGATTTGTGTGCAAACATAGTGTTTGTCAGTGTGTGCAGAGTAAAGTGGAAATGCATTGAATGGCAACCTTATTTAATGGCCTGCATTTATTGGGGGACTGCCCTTTGTTTATTCAAACATACAGAGGCACATGCATGTGTGTAGCGTGCAGTAGTAATGGCGGGGACAGAGGGTCATGCAGCATGAGAGAGATGGTACGGATATTTTCTTGCTCAATGTTGAAAGAAAGAGATATAAGAATTTATCTTCTTCTTTTTTTTTTCTCATTTCTTTCTTGTGATTTGTCTTGAATTCGAAAGTTTTATTGAGTCACAAATTCTTATGCGGAGTGGTGTAATCGTTAGGTGAATTGACCTGTCATACTCTTTGGACAAAAACGCAAACTCATAATATCAAGTGTCATACTTTTGTTTATACTTTTATTTACGTTGTTTTTTAAAGTATGATATTTTATAATGTTTGAAATCTTCTAGGGCAAGTCACTTAGCAACCTTAGCAACCAAAAAAAAAAAAAAAAACCCTTTCTCCCAAATTCGCCGCTCGTCACCCTCAATTGCTGCACGCCGTCTGCCTTCCTCGGCGGAATCGAAGCTCAGTCTGGCGGTCGCCCTTGGCGGCTCGTTCCCCTCCCTGTTTTAGCTCGCCTCGGCGGCTCGGTGGTGCCTCCGTTCGGGATGGTGGCTACTCCGGTGGTCTTCCCTCCTTCGATCGCGATGGTGTCTTCTCCGGCGGTCTTCTCTCGGCGGTCGCCCTCGGTGGTTGCTCCGGTGGTCCTCCCTTCTCAGTTCGCTGTGGTAGTGGTTGGGTTGCGATCAGACTTCTGTTCTCCAGATGAGGCTGCGTGGTTCCGGTTGAGGGCCTCCCGGAGTTGCTGGGCTGTTGGGGGTTGGGTAAAATGGAGAGAGGGGCGAGGCTCAGGCGGCTCGTGACGCTCGTGTTGGAGTGGTCTGAGCGGGAGGGTCGATTTACTCTTCTTCCCCTGGTTCTTTTTTTAGGTTCGGGGGAGCTGGCACGGTGGTACTCGGCTAGTGGTGTTAGGCGGGTGGTGCGGTGTTGGTATCGGCTAGTGGTGTTAGCCGGTAGATGAGTGGCGGTTCTTCCCGGCCGGGACAGATCTTTATTGGTGTTTGGTTCTGGTCTGGTATTTGCTTCAGATAGGCATTTAGGCAGTGTAGGTTGCGGGTACTGGGCCTTTGGATCTCTCCCTGATATAGATTGCTCACCTGCTGGTTGGACTTGATCTTTCTGCTGAGAAAGGGCTTTTTAGTTGGTTTTTTGGGTTCCGTTTTAGTTGTTTTCAGTGGTTGTGCCTGTTTTGTTTAGGATCTGTGTTTTTTGTTTGGGTCGTTGGCCTCTGTAAGTCTGAGCGGGAGCACCTTGATTCTCCTATTGGGAGCAGCTCCCGTCTCTATTCTCCTGTTGGGAGCTTGGTAGTTTTTCTTTGTGTTTTGTTGTGTTAGTTGTCTAGTGACTCTTGTTTTAGTTTCTAGCGTTGCTAGCGTCGGGATTCTAGACGGTCGTCAGACTTGTCCTCCCATTTTATTCAGCTTTTGGCTGCTTTTTATTCTCCCGTTGGGAGCTTTGTATTTTGATTCGCACATTTGTGCCCTTGGTTTTTAATAGATCCTCTATCGTTCTGGCAAAGAAAAAAAAGAAATCTTCTAGGGCAATTCATCAGGAGGACCTAATTTCTCCATATCTGTTCATTTTGATCTATGAGGTTTTGTCAAAGAAAAGAAAAAAACTGTCGCGAAAAAAAAAATCATTGGAATTAGAACTTGCAAAAAGGGTCCAACGATATCATGCCTGTTTTTTGCTGATGATGTGCTATTTTTTTAGTGAGACCTCTCAAGAATCTATTCAGTGCATCAAAAGAGTGTTAGAAGTTTATTGTGTTGCTTATGGGCAATTAGTAAATTTTGATAAATAGGCTTGTAAATGAAATCAGTGAGGTAGGAGTGAGTAAGGAGAGATGTTTGTAGACTATTGGGGGGTATGTAGGAGTGTCGTAATGCTAAAATCTTGGACTGCCAATGGTGATTGGGATGCATAAAAATATATGTTTTTCAGTTTGTAATTCAAAAAATTTGAATTGCAAAGCTAATCTTCTGATTGGGGGGTATGTAGGAGTGGTGTTGATTATGCTTGTTATTAATGCCTTGCCTTTTTATGTAATGTCTTGCTATAGTATTCTAAAAATGATGTGTGGCAGAAATACCATGCAGTCTTACAAGTTTAGGTGGGAACGAGAGGAGTGAAGAAAAAGGCAAAGTTGGGAGAGTTGGGGAAAAATGTGTACTAATAAAAAAAAT